GGGAATTATCAAAATGGGAATCCACCTGCAAGCTATATATTTAACTCAGAACTTATTTCCTAGCTGCAGATTTATATGGACAACTGCAGTTGTAAATCTTAGAAGTGCTTCAAACTTGTCAAGTCCAATGGTCTTAGCTCCCAAGTTGGTGAAGGGGCCTACCATCCATACTCAGTTGTCAGGACAGAATGGGCCCACATTCCCTCAGTCCTGGTGCCAAGTCAACTCTACTTCCTAAGATTATCCAATTCTGATGAATTCCTTCCCCTAGAACACTGCTCTAAAATGGGCCCCATCCTCTCTTGTCTGTATCCTCCTCATTCTCTTTCTCTCCTCACCTCTAATAACCCCACCTACAGGTGTAAGAATGAACTTCTAATATGTTAATCTTATCATTTTACCAATCTGCTCAGAATTTTAAAAAATATTTTTTTATTGATTTTAGAGAGTAAGGAAGAGAGAGAGAGAAATAGAAACATCAACGATGAGAGAGAATAATTGAATGGCTGACTCCTCCTCACGCGCTACTGGGGATCAAGCCTACAACCCAGGAATCCAACCATGCCCTCCTGGTTCATAGGTCGACACTCAACCACTGAGCCACCTCAGCTGGGCAGAAGATTTTAATAGAGCTCCCATTATCCAGAGGATAAAATCTAAAGCTCTTTAGAGGAATTCAAGAATTACGGTTACCTGACCCAGAGATTTCCCATTGTGAAGTTTTCAGGTTAGCAATACTAAATGCTTAAAATGTCCTAAACACATTCTGCTCTTTTATGCTAAGCCCTCTGTCTGCAGAGCCATCCTCCAATTTTCCTCCTTCCAAACTATTCTTCATCCTTTAAATTTAGGTGTAAATATTTGCTCCTAAGTAACAATCATTGTAATCACAGAATGCAAAATTCAACTTAAACATTGACAATTTTGCCTTTAGGTAATAGCTTTGGATATAATTGTTATCCTTTCCCCTTCTTTCACTCCTTTATTTTTCTTCAGAACTATTGCAGAGATGGAAGGAAAGAGGCCAGAGAGCCTCAAATATCACTCACACTGAAAAAGCTAACCACCATATTCTTCAATGTCCTGTCTTTAAATGCCCCTGAAGAGGGGAAGGAAGCAAATGAAAAATAACAAGTAATTAACAGCTCTAATTTTTTTCTGCTACTCATTGTAGTTTGAAGATTTTGGAAAGATAAAACAAATGCCTTAGCATTTCCTTTCATTAATGAAGGAATTTATTTCACTTTAGCTTTCTTTCACTTCTAATTTACTGAGGTTTGAATTGAAGTTCAAAAGAAATACTTAGTTGCCCAGTTATTTCCTAATCTCTTTCTCCAATCCATTCTTGTAACCGGAACTAAGGTTCAGCACCTGTCACCATGAAAGCCAAACTCATTAGACCAGCAGTTCTCAACCTGTGGATCGCGACCCCTTTGGGGGTCAAACGACCCTTTCACAGGGGTCGCCTAAGACCATCAGAAAACACATATATAATTACATATTGTTTTGTGATTAATCACTATGCTTTAATTATGTTCAATTTGTAACAATGAAAATACATCCTGCATTATCAGATATTTACGATTCATAACAGTAGCAAAATTACAGTTATGAAGTAGCAACGAAAATAATTTTATGGTTGGGGATCACCACAACATGAGAAACTGTATTAAAGGGTCGCGGCATTAGGGAGGTTGAGAACCACTGCATTAGACAGATGTTGGTGAAAAAGGAAAGGGGTTTATTCAAGTGCCAGACACCTGAGAAGATGAGGGACTCTTGCCACAAAGCCTATCTCTACATCTCAGAGCAGACAGTTTTTATAAGGAGGGAGAGGGAAAGAAGAACGAAGAGGTCAAGGGGAGGTGGTTGAAAAGTTTCCTACGTGCAGGCCAGCACAGTCCATTATAATAAGATCTCAAAAACTGGTCAAGTGATGGTCTTGTATGCATCATCCTGGCCTTTGTCACCTAGTTTTATGGATCAACGTTAGCAAATTTCCCAGAACTTGGATGACTGATGGTCAGAGTCTGCATCTTCTAAAGTTAGTTCCTAGGATTCTTTTTTTTTTTCCAATTTATCTTTATTGTTGAAAGTATTACAGATGTCTCCATTGACAGCCCCACCAACATCCCACTCCTTCCCCTATCCCAGGACTTTACTGCACTGTTGTCTAAGGGTTATGCATGTATGCATATAAGTTCTTTGGTTCATCTTTTCATGCCCCCTCCTCCCTTCCCTCTGAGATTCTTATATAATCATGTTGTTTATCTATAAGCTAAATATTAGAGTCAGCATTTATAGAAAAAATGTCAAAAGAAGGGTGTGGTGGGTTACAATTCCTCACTGTTACACTTTGAAATATGAAATTAGCTGGGGGATATTTATTACTTAAATTTGGAATGAACTAAAATTATTTTTGTTTCAAAACCATAGTAATGACTCACCCTTAAGGCAATTATATATCTGCAAAAACACTATGAATGATTTCTGGGTGAGTGGTAGTGTATAAACAACATATTTATATAAATATTATTTGGCTTTCTCTCATTATAAATCTATCTACTGACTTCTTTGCTAACACATCAGATACTTCAAAACAAGCCTGGACTAAGAAACCAGATGCTTTCTCTCTCTAGTTGTCCTCTCTCCTGAGTTAGCATTGTTAGTGAGTAATGAAGCAACTTCTGGGTTCTCTTATTGATTGTGGTAGGGCTGTGCAGATGGGCTTCCAGACGCTGGGTCCTGAATGAAAGGAGCTAACCAAGTCCACACATCTAACCATTAATCTCATCTGAATAATGTTTGGCCTCCACTGTAATGTTCCCATTCTACTTTATTCTTGTCTCACTAATATTGGTTTCTCTTCTTATGCAATGGCCCATTTCATGAAAATTACTAGGCATTTGACAGGTAAATAGAATTTAATGTACTTCAATAAAATTGTTACCTTAGAATCTTCAGGGAAAATGTATTGAGGTTATTTGTGCAACAATCATTTGTTATCAGAATTAAGCAGTCAAGTATGTAAGAATTAATTATTAAACATAGGCTTGCTCTCACTTTAACTTATGATTTTCTAATGATTCTGTCAAAATGACTTTCTAATCTTAGAGCAGCTTGTGTGATTTATAAAGCAACACAGGGTTAATTCAGAGTTGAATTTTTCTTTATATACTATTTCTGGAGAACCTAAGACATTGTATTAGAGTGATTAGTTAAACCATCAACATGAATTCTTTTTCTTCAAACTGAAATTTTCTTCATTTTGATTAAACTTTTTGCAGTTGGCTAAAAGTAATTGCAAGCTATATGCACTTACAGTTACATTTTTTTAAAAGAAGACCAACAAACTAATATGGGAATTTTTAAAAAATATATTTTTTATTAATTTTAGAGAGGAACAGAGAAGGAGAGAGAGAGAAACATCAATGAAAGAGAAACTTTGATTAGTTGCCTACTGCATGGCACTTACTGGGGATGGGTGCTGAAACCTGGGCATGTGCCCTGACCAGGAATCAAGCCAGCAACCTCTTGATGCACAGGCCAATGCTCAACTAACTGAGCCACACAGGCCAGGGAAAATTAGAAATTCTTGATTCTAGAGTCAGAATTTTCATTACTAGAGACCAAGAGGACACCAGGTCCATGTGCCCCTTATAGGCTTATCAAGATACCAACAATCTGGAGTCCCATTTTTATATGTTGAGTTCAGCTGTCTCCTTCCTCACCAACGTCAATGTATACAGAGCGCCAGTGCACAAAAAGCACCCTCCCTCAACCTCTCCACACACCCTATGGAGGAGGACTGTGTCACTGACATGCCTACCTACATCCTGCTCTCCACTTGCTCCCCACAATGTGGGCGGCAGGGGAGATGAAGCTGAATGTAGGCATTTCTACAACCAGCAGGACGTTATGCTCACTATTGTGATGTAGGTATTTAGAAACATCATCTTTTTCTCTGGGTCTCACATCATCAACACCAATATAAAGTCATTGGAGCAGCCAGTCGCATGGACCCAAAAGGACATTTGGAAGCTGCCTGGACGCTCAATATCTCCCTCAACCTCTTACAAAACAATTGTACTATCCCCTACATCTTTATGGCACTTCATAGTTGAGAAAGCTCTCTAACTGGCATCATCTCATCTAAGCTTTCTGAGCTATAATGGGTCAGTAGAATAATTTTTAAAAATAAAGGGTGAAATGGGCTCAGAGAGGTTGAGTAAGTTACAGGAGGTCACAGAGAAGTGGGGGATCACTTGTCCTAGTCTGGAGTCCTTTCCACAACATCAAACAAATTATAGACATGGAAACAAATACACTTTTGGAGAAAGCTAAAACTCCTTACGGGAATAAGCTTTCCATTACATATTTAGAGATAAAGCCAAAATGCAAACCTTCCCCTGATGGTGGGACAGCATTAACAAACGTACTGCAGGCTTCCACATATTGAAAAACATTATCCAGGGTTATAGGCTTGATTTAAGACATGGTAGTTAATAGAAAAGTTCTAGATAGAAAATAATTTTAGCAAAATTGTACATCTGTATATATACACACATTTAGAAAACATATTGCTTTTGATGTGTGTGGCATTTCTTAGTTACCATTTTATATGCGGTGTCCACACCTGCTTCAACCATATACTTTAAGCCACCATATTTTTAATTACCTATGACTCTTTTTCAGTTAATTATAACAAGTAAAATGTTTTAACCAATGAAGCACTTTCGTGAGTAAAAATCCAGATTTTTATAATAAGTTTCTAGGAATAGCTCAGTTTTCACATTTAATATCTGGACCTCATTTATCACAGGTAGCATGAAATTGCTTTTATTTTAAAGAACAGTTATATAGTAAGAGCAAAGAGTATAAAATCAATAAGTACACTCCCCTCTATCATATAAAACTTGTGTGACACATTTCCCTAAGAAATTTCTTACATTTAGACATCCTGGTCCATATTCACCTAAAAGTCTGAGTGTACACTTTACCCAGCAGTTTTTACCTTTGGGCTTTGGTACATTTCATAGAAAGGAAAATACAGGCAGTGGAAGTAGAGGCAGAAGTAGAAGACTTCGAGCACAAGAGCTCATCAAGTGTATGCTGGGGACAAGTAAAATGAGGACCTTTCCCACTGGGCTTCAGTGACTAAGGGTGGCAACGGTACAAAACGTGCAAGAAGTCAAAGAAAACCTTTTCCTTAATGGGAAAGACGACACCATGCAAGGTAAATGGAGTGATTAAGAAGAAATGTTTATTGGATTCAATTAATCAGCTGATGGCTCATCTAACTTCCACTTGGATTTTAAAAATATGCCCGAAAAATGTTTTTACATAATTTTTTGTTTCTTGATTTCCCATGGAAACCTCCCATGTGTAATTTATTGACAACATCTCTGAAGAACAGAATTATTGATGTTGTTTGTCTGATGTGCCAGATGATGAAGGAGCCAGAAGACAGCTACAAGTGAAGGCCTTTGTATGATTTCAAAATGTCAGGACGGTGCGGATACTGAAACACAAAATAAAAGATATTATTTTAATATTTATGTAGTTCACATTCTTCCATGTAAGAGTCCAAGGGGCATTTGATGTGTCTCACTGAACAGGTGTCTGTATTTCCTCCCACTCCCTTCCTATCCTTATGTATTCAAGTCAAAGATAGTTCACCTTTTCCGGGTTTGGTCTTGTGTTTTCTCCAACCTTAAACTCAAACCTGAACATGGCTGTCATTTAGGCTTTATAATGAACTAGAGGCACGGTGCACGAATTTGTGCATGGGTATGGTCCCAAGAAGGGTGGGGGTCCCAGGACACGATTGGCCCTCCAGGCAGGCAGTGGGATGCCCTTGCCGGCCTGGGATCTGGATCCGACCTGCCAACAGTCGTGCCAGTTGTTGGGAGCCACCTGGCAGCCACTTTTATAGCCTTTCTTCCCTGCAAAGCATCTAGGGAGGGGAAGTGGCCACGGTGCCTGAAGTGGACTTCCAGGGGGCCGGTGGCACTGTCAGGATTGTGCTGATGATGCTGGTCCATTTGTGCCTGGCCCATTCTCCAGAGATGGGACCTGCAAAACTATTGAGGGAGTGGCTGCTGCCAGGCTGGTGGGATGCCGGGATGGGTCTGTCAGCAGAGCGGTGCTCCCGCTGTGGGAGCATACTGACCACCAGGGGACAGCTTCTGTGTTGAGTGTCTGCCCCCTGGTGGTTAGTGTGCATCATAGTGACTGGTCGTTCTGGTCGTTCTGGTCATTCCAGCTGTTCAGTCTTTTGGTCGCTTAGGCTTTTATATATATAGATTAGGATTCTCAAAAAACATTTTTGAGATCCTACATGCCTGGCATAATAATGAATTGAAAACAACAATGGGTAATAAGTTCTTGCTGTTTATCACATACTCCATAGATGTTTCTTGTGCATTTTATCACTTAAACTCAACAATGCTATGAGGTAGGCTTTAAAGATTAGAGATTAAAAATTCTGAGGCTTAGAGATATTTGTAACTTGCTCTAGGTCATACATCTAGTATAAAGTGCTGGGATTTAAACCTGAATACAAAATTGCACAAATTACAAGATGACAAGTAATTTGCCTGAAGGAAGCAATGATATAATAGTAAATGATGAAGATTTAATAGAGCTCTGATAAAGTGGTGCTTAAGGAGCCTTAGTAAGAAGATAAAGCTAGAGAGACTCCATTCTTGGTAAGATCAGATATATAATATTTACACTGCAACTCATGTCCTTTCTTAAAATCATCTTCTGTTGGATACTTTTAGAAAAATGTGTTCATGCCTTTAAAAATTATTTATATGATATATCATATTATATTAAATGTTACATTATATTAAAACAATCCCAATGTGGCTCCACCTACTCCTATATATAATTTGCATGCTAATCCATTAATGGTCAACCTTTTAGCTGGCCAGGCAGAAGCTGCAGTGACTCCATGTTATGCTTATGACTGTGGGACTCTGATTCTTTTTCTTAGCAAGGGTGAGTCTTCTTTTGTATATAAAGATGAGTGGCTTTGATCATTTGGATTCATTGTAACTAACATATGTAATTTCATTTCAGCAGAACAATGTTTCAATGCTTCATTTATTTTCTCAAAAGGTAAAACATGGGTTATTAATGGATCCAATGAAAACTTCTTAGCCATAAGCTCAGTCACAAGTTTGGGGACGGAATCTTTACTCTTAAAGCCTGAAAAGAACATGACATCATTGTTAGAGGCAGCCAGGGGTAAGAGAACGGAGAGAGACTTTCTGAATAGAATTCAAGTGGAAGTTCTACTGCTACTTACTTGTACGCAGACTACTATGACTGAGGTCAGTGAGAGACCGAGTGCTCCAATGTCCTCTTGCAGTGGTTAGACTTTTTGTTGTTGTTGTTACTTAAAAAAATCTGACGAGCTAAGCTAGGGTCCTTAGTTATTAGCTCTCTCACAGAGAAATTATTGTATGCATGGTAATTCCCAAAGGCAAGGAGCAAAATGTGCAGCTGTCTAGACTTGGGCAATGAGAGTAACCATGAATTATTGCTATGGACTTCCTGTGTCCTTCTAGGTATATTTCATGCCTTGTGTAGTCACATGTATAAAGAGAAGTGGTGCTGAAAGACCCTAGTTTATGGGGACACCAGAAATGTTATCTTGGGAATGTGTGTATTAGTTGTACTTCTAGTTAATCTGAAGCCTATATATACAAATAACTTAATTTGTTTAAACCACGTTGCTTCTTAAAAACTCACCTTGGCACTTGATAAAGGGAAGAAATCCTACATAATAAAAGCCTAATATGCAAGTGTCTGGTTGTCTGGTAACTGGTCAACTGTTCAACCAATCAAAGCATAATATGCTAATGATATGCTAAAGCTGCTCAATGCTCGCTATGACATGCATTGACCACCAGGAGAGTAGATGCTCTGACTGGTATGGTTAGCTTGCTGCTGGGGTCTGCCAATCTGGACTGAGCCAGACTAGCCAGACATGGCCCTGGAGCCTCCTGCGGTCCATCCCGGCTGGCCAACCTCCCGTGTCCCTCCATGGCTGGTGATCATCAGGAATGGGCAAGATGGGGCCAGACATGACCTGGAGCTCTACTGTGGATGGTCTCTCCCCAGCCCTGATCTTGCACTGGTGGGGTCCCTCAGCCTGGCCTGTGCCCTCTTGCAATCTGGGACCCCCCCAGGGGATGTTGGGGATGTCAGAGAGCCGGTTTCAGCCCAATCCCACAGGCCACTCCCCTCGGGAGGGCTCCAGACACAGGGCTCATGGGTGGTGAGCACTGCTGCTGCTGCAGCACAAGCCTCTTCCAATTGGGACTGATTGGGCGCGAGCCCAAGCAGGCACAGTGGGGCGGGGATGAGCAGGAGTGGTAGGTAGGAGCTGCAGGCAGCGTTGGACTGCGGGTTTCAGCGGATCCTCACAGGCCACCCAGAGAGACCCCACCCATACACGAATTCGTGTACTGGGCCTCCAGTCAAATGATAAAGATTAATAAAAATTCATCCCTCAAGCCTAAATACATACCACCAAAAACTGCTCCTTTCCAGGTACGCCCACTCAATAGCAGCATGGGGTTCATGGAGAGATTTTGGGAATCAGGAGGTACTCCTACAATGACGCTTACACCATATGCCTCGTGACAGCTTACCAAGGCAGCCTCCTGGAATAAAATTAGTATTTGGCATCATTAAAGAGGACTTTCTGATAGTCCTCATTCGTGATACATGGTATCACGTAATATTGATTTAGCTAGATTGCAAACATGTGGAGGGAAGAGATTATGTTTATGGCTTCTTCAATCCCATTACACCCAGAATAGTGCTGTGGCTTTAGAAAATGCCCAGAAAACACTTTTTGAATGAGACAATAGATGAATGAATTTGTGTACACGTAATTCTTCCTTAATAAAGTAATGAAGAAGCAAACATATCTACTTAAAGTCTGATTCCTCAAATACAAGTAGTGCTTTGTCATCACATGACTCTCAGGCAAAAATAATGAGTTGGTTTACTCATATTTATTTGTTTATCAGATAGCTATTTAGAACTCAGTACTTTAAACCGGGTGCTTTGATGGTGAACAAAATATAAGGTCAGTACTTTAAACCACTTTACATTCCCACTAACAGTGCACAAGGGTTGCCTTCTCTCCACACCCCTGCCAACACCATTTCGTGACCCTTTGATAGCAGCCATCCTAACAGGAGTGGTGAGGTATTATCTCTGTAATTTTGATTTGCACTTTATCAGACATTTGCTGTCTTCAAATAAAGTAACAATCCAATCCCACATGAGGAATTGGAAGGAATTTAGCTGGAGATGGCTTCCTCATGGTAATTAATGATGTTTGTAATTATTTGAAAGTAATGTTATGTATGTTGTAGAGATGATGGAAGCACTGCATCACTGAAAACATTACTTCCTATCAGTAGCACCAGATAATATTTAGTAAGAGCTTTCCACTGGACAAGTGGCACTGTGCTAAGTATTTTATATGCATTGTCTCATGTAATCCATAGATATGTATTTCTTAAACTTTTTGGTGGAAAAATCTGTTGACTTTTAAAAGTATTCAGTCTAACACATAGATTTGGCGCTTAATATGTGTGCCAGGCACTGTGCTGTATGCTGTGGTAAATGGGGCCTATTTTATGTTAATAAAATGATACTTGTCTTAAATTGCTCACTATTTCCTTTGAGCAAATTGTGATTTATGAAAAAAATCGGGTCATTAAAACATAAAAATTATTGAACCATTTTGTTTAAAATATGTGAGGAGAAATTGAAAAATAAAATTTTTCAATTTGAGAACAGCATTAGTATTATTTATGCTTACTTAATTTGAATATTATAACTAAAAGTTAACAAAGTAAATTTTAAATGGCCTAATACTCTAAAAGTGAAATATTACTTGAACTAGGATGGCATAACTGATGGAATGAAACATTTCTTATAATAATAAATAATCCAGGCATTAAATAGGAGATGAAAAATCACTATTCATAGTTTGGAAAATATTCTACACATATAATATTCATATTCTGCTGCCTAAAATCACTCTCCAGAATGCAGAAACACGTATTTGATGGAATTCCCTGGCACATACATACCATGGTGTCAAGCTGACCAACGACTTCAAATGAAAAATCCACACCTCCACCGCTCATTTCCTTCAGCACCTCGTGGATGGGTTTCTTGAAGTCCTGTGGGCTGATGCACTCGGTGGCGCCCACTTGCTTCGCCTTCGCATATTTGTCTTTGTTGATGTCCACCCCAATGATCCTGGCTGCTCCAGCCGCTTTACAGCCCATGACAACCGACAGGCCGACTCCTCCCAGGCCAAACACCGCACAGGTGGAGCCTGGCGTCACCTGTGTTTCAGAAAATGCAAAAATGGGTTAAGTAATGATTGTTGTATAAAGTGTCCTGTCTTC